TGGCTGCTGTAACAAATTACCACAAACGGACTGGCTTAAAGCAGCACAAATTAATTTTCTTACAGTTCTGAAGGTCAGAGGTTTAGAATCAATTTCAGTGGGCTAAAATCAAAGTGTCAGCAGGTCTGCATTTCTTCTGGAGGCTCTAGAAGAGAATCCATTTCCTTGCTTTTTACAGATTCTAGAGCTGCATTCCTTGGCTCATGGCCTCTTCCTCCATCTTTAAAGTCAGCAGCATAGATAGCATCTTCTCTTCTTTCTGATCTCTGCTTCATTCCTCACACCCTCTCTTTATGCCTCTGAGCCTCCTGCCTCCCTCTAATATGGACCCTTGTGATTACATTGGGCCCTTCCAGAATAATCCACGATAATCTTGCCATCTAAAATTCTTTAATTTAATCACATCTGCAAAGTCCTTTTAACCATGTAAGGTAATATATTCTTTGCGGGGGGGGGGACCAATATTCATCCTACTACAAATGGATATGATAATTTTACACATCTTTTAAGGTGGTTGTGAAAAGTAAATGAGATAAAGCACACAGGGCATTTGGCATGTATAAAATGCTTCACAAGTGTTAGCTGTTGTTAAGACAAAGGTAATTATGTAAAAACAGATTTTTTCAAGAAAAAAAGAGAAAATAGCCAATTTACACAGGAGGCATACTGGAAAGTTTTAAATTCAAATCAATGATTAGTGAGAGAAAATATGTAAGCTTTTCTTATTTTCTTCTTTATTCTGTTGAATTAATGCATGCAAATCATGTTTAACATAAAGAGTTAAATTTTAAATCATCACCAGACATTTTCACTTTCTATTAAATGAAATACCAGTTAAAACCATGTTTTAATGTCTTTAATCACCTATGTAAGTAAATTGCCCCTTCCTCCCTGAATGTCTCTTTTACTTTATTTTCTCCTTCTAATAGGAGCTAGAACATTCCAGCAGCCTTATTCAAATTTCACTAACCTTTGAGATTGCAGTTATGGAATAAAAATGGGTTTCATTACACTATGCTTTAGTAGGAATCCCTCTAGAATAAGTGGTAGAAAGCCAGCTCAAACTGTTTTTTTTTGTGTTTTTTTTTTTTTTTTTGTAAAGCAGGATGTGGCAGTGGTAGGAATTTATGGCTTATGTAACTGGGTTGGATACTATAATGTAGTGAGCAGGTTGAACTTCAAGAATGAAGGACTTACTGCCCTACTTTCAGCACCTGTAGGGATTCTCTCAGTGAAGAGAGCCATCTTGCCCAAGATCATTCAGGGTCATCCCAGCTTTAGATCTCCCCACAGGATTGTTGAGGATTTATTGTGACCACATGGTAATTTAATTTCTCCTTCTGCCCACTCCTGCTTTCTTATTTTTCTTCCTTTCCACGAATGTTTTCCTCCACGGGCACTCTCTAAGAAAACTCCTGAACACTAATGTCCATCTCAGAGTCTACTTCCCTGGAAACCCAATCTGCGAGAATAACTGAAATATCCAAGTGTTTCAGGCAGATCAGACGCGAGAGTTCAATCATTGTCAACATATTTATCTCCAAACCTCTCCATCCTTCCCCAGCTACTGATCTGGTTTTGTTTGGCATAATTCTTATGCAGCTTCTTAGCACAAGGTAGTAGAGATAGTCTATGTCAGTGGCAGGCATACATCATTCACGAAGAGAAAAAAAGTTCACCCTCTCCTCCAGAGTCCCTAACAACTCCCTCCTCATGCAGATAACTAATTGGCATTGTTTGGGTCGGGTGCCCACCCCTGGGTAATCACTGTGTCCAGGGGGATGAAGTCCTCTCATTGGTCATCCTTAGGCAAGGAAAGTGGGGCCACATAACTCATAGACGCATATAGAGTGGGAGCATGGCAGTTCTGGAAAGAACAGCAAGCACAGCAGAGATAAAATGAACAGATATCCATTTTTCATTATCACCAGGAATAAAACTCATCGGGAATCTTGGTGTAGTAACAGACCTCCCTTTCTTCAGCAATTTCACACATCCTTCTGGAATACATTAGGAGCCTAATTTTTAAATTTGAGATACCATTAAAGAGTCATACTCAGGATGCAAAGTCAGGGAATTTCCTGGAGACTTGAATTTGCTTCTCTCTTTTTTCTCAGTCAGAGGTGTCTGGGGTTTCAATCATAAGCCTGAGGGTGTTGCTCATTACTGCCTACTGGGAGTGGTGAGTACTACCTTACATTCACTGCAGACCAGTTTGACACTAACAGCTTAGGAGACAAGGGAAGCCAAAGTGGCTAGGAGAAGATAAACTGTTAGCTAATGCATAGAGGTTCAATTTTCTTCATTCTCCACGTCCAGTCAATGCCAACCAACCAATACCTGTTGCTCCTTTATCAAACTATCTGCCTGTCTTTCCAAGAGCGGTGCACATTACAATTTATTTGAACAATGTTCTCAAAAGGGAAGTTAGTTTCCATAAAAGAAAGATTTTACTCTTCATTGCAACTGATCTCTCTTCCTCCCACGGTGAAACTGATTGAGGTTCTTAAGGCTCTCAAGAAATCTCTACTCACAGCCCTGTGATTAATTTTATCAAGGAGGAAAAAAGCAATAGGAGGGAATGGTTGATTACCCATGGAAAATATTTTCTTTTTTAAATTTTCTTCTCAAATTGTTTAGGTTTATATGAAATAAGGAACATTATTTTCTAGTACATGAGTATTCGTAGTCCCCTTCCCATTGCTTCCCCAGCAGAGCACAGGCATCAGGAGGTAAATGAAAAAATGTGGGAGAGACTTGAAGATTTGGGTAGGATAAGAGAAGATGAACTAGTAGGCTGGGAAAGAGAAAACGGGGGAGAAGTAGAGAGAAGACTTTGATAAGTTTCAAAGAGCTTGATGGAGCAGTATTCATCTCTGTGGAGGAGTTTGAGAGTGACTTCATCCCCTTGGACACAGTGATTATCCAGGAGTGGGCACCTGACCCAAACAAAGCCAATTAGTTATCTGCATGAGGAGGGAGTTGTTAGGGACTCAAAGATAGGAAGAGCAGATTTTTAAGGTGTTTTATTCCTCATTAGGCATATATGCCTCACTTCTTTAATTACATGAGAAAATGAGTACAGATCTGAATTACTTTTTATAGCAGGCAAAATCCACTCAGAAAAACAGAAACCACCATATTTCAACAGAGAAAATTTCATACTAGGAATTTGTTACATGGACGATGGGAAAGCAGAGAGTCCCAATATGAGTGCAGAGGCAACATAAAGATTAACAGCTACAGGAAGTGGTTACCACCGTCATGGTTGGAGGGAAACTGGGAGGAGGTGGTATAACTCAAGCCCAGAATCCAGGGCCATCTGGCAAGAGCTAGAACTGCAGTGATGATGGCCAGCTCATGCCACAGAGGGAAGGGCTGACTGGTGGGAGCTGGAGCCACAGTGGAAATGCAGCCACTTCAGGGTTGCCACTTGAAGCAGAAAGCTGGAGGAAGAAACACTCTGGCTTCACCCCTGCTCCTCATCCTCCAGTTTGGCTGAGCATACCAGAAGCCGGAGGACGAAGGAGTCTGGCAAATATAATTCTCTCTGAGACAGAGCACAGCAGGGAAAGGGTGGGGATTAGATCTCAAGGCAAAGAGGCAAATAACTAGCACATGTTTTGATTGTCTAACTGTGTTTCTTTGAATTCATCTCTGTGTGGAATGGAACCATGAAGCTGGCTACCCTTTATGTGAGTTACACATGATCCAAGAGCAATGGAGAAGGTCACAGTTGAGTACCTTTCCTTAAATATTAAAAAGAGAAAAATAATATTAATTTATTAATTGTCAAAATTCTGGAGGCTGTCTCAAGTGGTTCATAGACAACAACCAAAAGAGTTCATGCCTCTCCTCTTTTTTCTTCCCTTGTTCGCTTTTGTCCTCCAATTTTGTCTTTTACCTCTCTATTGACTATAGCTGTTGTACAACTACCCTTGTGCAATTAGTCAACTTTGATCTCTAGTGAGGTTACCATTCTACCCTCCTGTCTCTTTCATGTCCTGAAGACTGGGTAGTAGTAGTGGTAGTAGTCAGGAAAGAAATGCTAAATCTGGCTTTTAGCATCTACTGTATCTGGTATACTTTTGTTCTGACTCTGTTTACATACCTAGTGTAGAGGATGTCGTGTCTTCCTGGGAATACTATAGTCATCCAAACATATTGATATGTTTGCTATATTTTCATTTCCTGCAGTTGTATTTGGAGTGATTTGGGATGGGACTGGCACAGTCAGGCTTTTTTTCTGGTATCATGGTTAAAAGTATAGCCAATTTGCTTGGGTTTCAAATCCAGACTTCACTGTTTCCTAATTGCATGACATTGACCAAGTAACTTAATTGCTCTGGGTCTCAGTTTCCTCATCTATAAATGTAATAATAATAATAGAAACTACTTTATAGGGGTTGATTTATTAGAATCAAATAAATGTATTTATATACTGAACTTATATAAATATATGTGTGTGTGTCTTTGTGTATATATACACACATACATATGTATTAACTCACATATACATATGTATGTGTGTATATGTGTGTGTATGTACATACACACACACACATACATCCATAGCTTAGAAAATTGGTACAATGTAAGCATTCTGTAAATATCAACCCTCACTATTGTTATTATTTATCTCAACAAGACTGTAAATGCTTCTCCAGCCTGTCAAAAAATATCATGCCTATTTAATTTTTTTACCCAGCATGAAATCATGGCTAGTTGGGTGACATTTTAAAAATTGCTACTTGATAACTGATTAGTCAAAAAGTTAATTCACTGTGTAAAATATATCTCATTAATTGCACTCTTATTTGTCTCTTCAGTTGTAGAAATAGGTTTCATTTCCCCCTATGTTTAGTTGTGATTGGATCGTTACAGACCCTTTTTCTGTAGTTTTTTTGTGATTTAAATATTTGAATTTGTTATGGAAACAAGCTTTTCAGTTGACCAATGATTAGCTAATTTCTGATAATATAAAAGGAAACAGATTGCCCCAAGTCTGCTGTTTTCATTTCCTCATGGGAAGAAGAAGCATAGCAGAGAAGAAAGGCAGACACAAAGCATTGCACCTCTGCCACCATGGGGAACTGGTTTGTGAATGAGGGACTCTCCATCTTTGTCATTGTAAGTAACAATGAGAAATCAATTATGAGTTCTCTGACTTGTCTGGGTTCTCTTGGGAACTAAAATAGAGCAAAACTTTTTTTTTGTTTATTTGTTCTGTTTGAGAAATTGCATTGAAACTGATTTACTGTGTGAACATATATCTATCTGTAAGCAGACTGAGTCCATTCTTCTAAACTTATTAATGAAAAAAATGTATCTGGGGGCTCACTTCACCTAGTTTATTTCTTGAGTTTTTAAGAGTATTAAATTAGCCAGCATCTCACAGAAGGGGTAGAAGACATTTCATGCTATTGATCCCTGAGTCTGCATTGTTTATTTATGTTTCTAGAGGTAAATTTCTCTATTTTTTATGTGTTTGTACCACTTAGAAAATGGGCAATTCAAATTTTATACTATTTTCCAAATAATAAGACTGGCTCATGTATGGGAAATTGGGCTTTATTTCAGTAATTACACCAAATATAATTGAAGTTCTCAACTTTCTTTTTAAAAGAAGTACCCTCTTTTTCTCTGAGGTAAACTTGATTTACTTATGAGGTTTATAAAAACTCAAGGGAAGGGAATTGAAATAAGATATCTAGACATATGTAGTGTATATATGATATACATTGTAATTATATATATATAAATCAATATAATCTTTCTTGAGAAACAATTTTTGTAAGTAAAGATATGGCTAATTTTCAAATAGACATGTTAGTTTCTTTAGTTTTTAACATAACAAAGATCAACTATTGTTTTAAGTCGGTGGTCTCAGGAGAGCAATCATGACAATTAGGAAGATAGAAATGTGATTCATAAATAGCCAATGAAAACATTATACAGATGTTAAAAAGAACACTTATGAATGGAACTTTTGAAAGAATTTATCATGAAGTAAATCTTGAGTCTTTGAGTTTTAGCGGTAGAGAGAAATTAGTGACACAAATAAAATAAAAACAACAAATATTTTGTCATTTAAAAAAATATATGCCAAACCAACATTCTAATGCAATATAGAATTCTTCTGAGGACTCAGAGCTGTTAACTTGACTTCTTATCACCATTTTAAGAACAGATTACTCCTATAGGAAACAAATTCAAATTATACTTGTGGCTCCTACTACAATTTTTCCCAGGAAATGACCTCCTTCTAAATTATACGCTCGTATATACTTGAAAGTGAAGGCACGACTTGGAAAGCAAGAGTAAGAATGATAAGATTAGGAAATGGAGAAGTTGTTTTAGTACCTTCTTCTTTATAAAGAGAGACTGTTCTCAAGTGTCTATGGACATTTCATAGCTTCAAAGCACAGTTAAGAAAAAATCACTATGGAGCTGAAGGTAGAGGATTGGGCAGTGTCACCACTTGATGCAGTCAGTGCTGGGGATGAAATGAGCAGTCACAATGTAGAAGGGTCTCTTTTTTTAAAAATCCCATGCCCCTCACCCCCTCATTCATGCTCAATATCCCCTCCTTCAAAAGTTAAGCAAAACTTACCAAATAGAATTAAAGGCTTGACACTTTAGCTGATGAGACTCCCACTAGCTGGAGTGGGATGCTGTGTGGTGGACGGAGGTGATTGGCACCTGTGAGAGTAGAACACAATGTCCTACTATGTGGGGGACAGCATAGTAACATATTCCTTTCTCTTCTCTTTCTAAGAAGAGTCATCTGCTACCATCTATCCATCTATCTACCTATCTCTCTCTGTCTGTCTCTCTGTCTCTCTGTCTCTGTCTCTCTCTCTCTCTCTCTTTATCATCTATCTAAGGTTAAGAAGAAAAGAGGAAGAGAAAGAAAGGAAGGGAGATAGACTGATAATAACTTGGCATACCGCCATGTAGTAAAACAATCATGGGGAACAACACAGGGTGGAAGGTTTAATTACAGAGAAGCGTAGTGACACTATTATCGGAAAGAGCTGGTTCTAAGCTGTTTATACCCAGCTTTGTAACCACCTTTGTTGAAGGCTGGACTCGGGGAAGTCCTGACCCTGGTCTGACTCCAATCTTGTGTGAAACCTACCTGTTAAAACGTGAAAACTTCACACAACTATTTCTGTTTGTGCAGCTGGTATGGCTGGGGCTGAACGCCTTCCTCTTTGTCTGGTACTACCAGGTTTATGATGTTGGAGATAAATTCTTTTACACTCGAAAACTTCTTGGGGTAAGTATAAGTTTTATTTCATGCAATATTGACTGACTCACATTTCTAATCAGAGATTCTTGTTCGTATTCCTTTTAACATTTTAAGTAAATATTCTACCAACCCAAACACCACCATCAGCCTCATTCCCTCTATTACAAACACTTGGGTATGTCTTTAGGCCTTCCAGTGTGGGACAGACAAAAGAGGGTCCCGGTGACATCCCTACCCTCCCAAAGAACCACTGTGCCATTGTTTAGCTTAAAGGAGAAATCTAATACTAACTCTGGAATGGAAGGCCAGGTTGGAGAGATCCATCCAGGGATGACACATGTGGGACATATTCTGTAAATCTGATTCCTACCACTTTTGTGCATGGAGATCCGTGCTCCTAAGTGACATGTTATGAAATGGTCTTCAGAAAAGAAGCCTCTCCCTATATATGGAGCCTTTGAGGAACTTGCCCAAGGGTCACATTCATTGACTAGGACAGCTGAGTGAAGGCTCGTGACTTTCCTTGGTTCCCTTAGCATTCTCAGTTTCCTTGAACTGCCAGGGCTCTTCTTCATTACAAATGAAAATAATTACAATTACAGCTGTCCCCAGAGGAAATCATTTGTTACATCATGCTGAAACTATGAATTAATTACTTAATAATACTAATTATAATATGTATTATAAATCATATGTATGAATAATTGTAATATATAGTTATACTACATTATTATAATTTTTGTTAACTTAGTCAGATTGACACTGAGAAGGATGGATGGTTTCCCTTTGCTTTTCCCCTCCAAAATATGCAACTTCTTTAGGCATTACAAAGATAACAATTATAATTCCAAAGCATTACATCATACCAACTGAAGTTACTATTGAGGTGAGTCTAAGTGCTAAGAAAACCTCGTTTAAAAAGGCACAGTTTCTACACTGAACTCAAGTTAATGATACGCATGCTTGTCTGCAACTTACTTTGAAATGCATCAAAAAATAAGATGAATTTATGGATGGCTAGAGGGATGGATAGATATGTGATAAAGCAAGCATAGTAAAATGTAAAAGGTGAAACCTGGGAGATTGGTAAACAGGTATTCATTGTGAAATTCTTCCAAATTCTCTTTACGTTTGAAAATTTTCATAATAAAATGTCCGGGGGGAGGGGCAGATTAAAACATAAGGTCTTAGCAGGCCCTAAAGGTAAACTCTTGGCTCTGAAGGACCTTCCTTTCCAGACAAGTTGATGTCTCTGGTATGTGGGCCTCATGCCAGGAGCCCTGGGGAATTGGTGGGGGTATTCTGTGCTCACAGGAGTCACCCTGCTCCCTAATCCTGCTTCTTCCAGAAAGCACTTCCGTTGGCCAGGGCCCCTGCAGCCTGCCTGAATTTCAACTGCATGCTGATCCTGCTGCCAGTCTGTCGAAATCTACTCTCCTTCCTCAGGGGTTCCAGCGCGGTAAGAGCAAACGTTTACAAAATTTGAGTTCCTCAAAATGTCAAAGGCCATCAAGCTAAATGCCCTTTCTTAGGAAAAGCAAACCAATGGTTTGTGAGGATTTCAGCCTCTGTAGAATATTTATGATCCAAGCCATGCCTGATTCTCTAGTTTATTTCTATATTATTTGTTGATGGAGCTCCCTGGACAACCATTTAACCCGGAACCGACATTAAAAACAACAACCAATTAACCTATACTTCAACAATAGCAGTAATGCATGTGTGCATGCACACAGACACACACACACAGACATACATAATATAATATATGTGTATGTGTATATAAACAGGGCTTTATGAGGCTGACATGAAACTTGGGAATTAATCTTACAGTGCCATGTTTTTCAAAATTTTTAAGTGAGAGAAAATCTCTTTTGTGGGCAATATCCCAAGCAGATGGAATAAATGGGCAATGAGTCACACCATAATGAACGTGACTAAGAAGTGTTGGCTCCATAGAATTGGGGAGTTCAGAGCTTTCTAAATGCCCAGGGCTCCTTTTGCCCTCACTTCAACAATTTAGTGAGCCCCTAAATGTACTATGCTAGAAGAAAAAAAAAAAGAATTATGTAGGAAGAATCTTCCTAACCTATAAATGCTATACAAATTTCTTACTGATATTCTTATACAAAAATGAGAAACAAGGAGCTTACAATCTACACACATACATAAATAAATACAATACAAAGCAAAATATGATGGGTCCCACAAAACATTCTAAATAAAGAAATCACAGGGAATCAAGGGAGAGGGAAATTATATCAGGTGGGGCAGGGGATGAAGAACGGCTTCTTATGGAAGGTGGTATCAGATATAGGCATATAAGGATAAAATAAGCATCTAGGACATGTAAATGAGACAGAAAGACATTCTATGTGGAGAAAATGGCATGGGCAAAAGCACAGGAAATCATGAGGAAATCGTATTCTTGAAAGCCTTGCATGAGCATGACTTCTGGCTTCTTTTTGGATGTGTTTGCCATTCCTGACCACGCCAGAGGATAGCTCTTCCAAAGTTAGGGATTGATGCCGTGGTGGGACCCATTCCACTAGCTCATTAGTGACTAATAGCCTCTGTTTTTCCTTTTAATAAAGTGTATGTGCTTTATATTAAATAGAATTTTCAAAAATTACCTATTAAGTAGAGATCGTTTATAAAGGAGAGCAGTAAGCAGTCTACTTTGATGAGAATGTAGGATTGTAAAGGGCAGGTGTCAGAGGTAAGGTTGCAAAGAAGAGCTGGAGCTTTGCTGGTAAACTAGGACCTTAAATGTACAGCTGAGGAGTTAATACTTAATTTGGCAATCACTATTTTGGGGAAGGAAAATGATCTAAGCTGTCAATAACAAGTAGAACTTGCCTTGAACTCTACCTTATTTTTCCTAGTCTTACTAAATTCGCATTGATCCTAAGAAGATTTTTTTTTCTTGAGTAACTATACAGCTCTTGATTTACTAATATAGGATTAGCAGGCTACAATTAACGGTAGGCATTGATTACAAGGATTTCCAAATAATCTTCTCAACCTTAGAAACCACAAAGGTAAAATTCCATTTGATTGAAAGTTTTATTGATGAGCCAACTGTAAAGTACTGTCTGGTATATCGTAGTTGCCTGATGAACATTTGCCAAATGAAGCTCATGTACTGTAGCTTTTTGTTTTTAAGGTGATGATTCGTTTTTATTCTCCCCTCTACCCCCTGTTTGAATACTTTCTATTTAGAGGAAGTAAGCCCTGAGAAACAGGCAGCGGTTTCACCAGGATGGCCCGTTAAGAAATCCTTGTTACCCCACAAGCCCAAATTGCAGTGTTGTTGAGCTGCCATGCCCCACGAGCAGCACATGTAATGGCTGCTTTTAGGCTTCTTGAGGCCCAGGAGGGAAGATCCTCATGAGTGTGTCTCAAGACAGGGATGAAATGAGGCTGCTCTTCAAATTGCAGAGAAGCTCAGCTCTGTAGCCAGAGAGACCTGTATATAAAAGAATATATTTTTTAAAATTAGCAGCAAGCAGCCTTCTTTTACAGATAGGGTGTGTCCCTCCTTCCGGATTTCCCAACCTGAAGTGTGAACTTTGCAAATGAAACTTCTTTTCTGATTGGGATTAAAATGAGTGAGCATGCTGTGACTAATGTTGGAAATCATAATAGCTGCCACTTATTGTCCTCATAGACCCCACCTCATGAAATCTGCGTATCAAGCCAGTGAGGTGGGGATGAAATTAAATGGGAGTGTTGGGATTCAAACCCAGGTCATTGTGCCTCCAGAGCCCATTCACTTTCCTACGTGCCACCTAAACTCGAAACTGTCTCATTGCAGTGTTATGGTCTTAGAAAGTCCATCATACATATGAACATTTCGGCATGCTGAATAACCTAGGCTACAAATGGCAAGAATGTCGTAACTTCAAGGATTTGTTCATAGGACATTATGCAAACTAAACAGTCACAGAACTTCCGTTCAGTTTTTAGTGGTCTTAATCATTTAGACTTTGCTTTATAATCCTTCTGGTTGCCTGGAGAAAGAAAGCCCTAGGGTTGGCCCACCCCATGAAAAGTAGGGGTAAAGACTCTTGGTCTGCTTTGTCGCGGGAAATGGGGAAGGATGGGGTTCAGCATACAGAAGTTCCCAAAGTAGCCTTAATAACCCCAATTTGCCATACAGAAACTAAGTTCTAACTGGATGGAAGTCCTATTCTTAAGATCAGAAAGAAACAGGAAGGTGGCAGAGTGAGCTCTTATCTGTGACTTTATATAGTCTGAGAGCCAGAGGCCCTCAACATGGCTCTATCTCCAACCATATGGTCTAGGGCAAGTCTCTTGGACTTCCTGTCTCATAGTTTTTTTGTTTTTCCAGCTGAAAAGCAGATGAAATAATGCAAATGTGAGAATGAATATGACACTCTAAAAGTGTATTAATTGACTAAGCCTGTCAACTAGTGAGTTGTCAGGCAATAAATATCTGTTGAGTGCCAGCTATGTGCTAAGCACTGGGGACGCATGGTAAGTAAAGAGTAAAATGTGGATGGACCACAAGCTCAAGGAGCTTAGAGTTTTATGGAGGAGATAGAGAATAAACATGTAATTTCAAAATTATAAACAGTGCTATACGAATAAAGTGGTACTCTTCATATTTATCGCATATTCTACTGCCACCAGCTTTGGAAATTATTGCCAACTTCTTTGCCTGAGTTCTGTAGATTCAAGGCTGGCTTTTTCAGTTTCTCCCAAATTGCATATAAATATCTAATTCAGATTCATTCATGGTGCATGTGATGAGACCAGGTGTACCTAAAATAGAACTTTTGAGTTTCTGTAACATGGGTGTTACAGAAACTCATGTTATACCCCATTAAATATGCATTTATTTTTAGTTCCATGTCTCAATTTTTTGAATTTTTTTTCTTTCACAGTCTACATAGAAATCTGCCAAGATGACTCAATAATGTCCCTTGCGCTTGAATGTTAGTTTATTGAGTTGGCCAAGGCTGTAGGTGACAGTAACAGAGAAACTTCCCTTTAGAAGTCAATGGCCAAAAGCAAAGAGGTAATTCAGTGAGGAAGTTATGGAGCATGATGGCAGCTTGGACAATTTGTAGGTGGCTGACAATAATTCAGAAATGATTCAAAAGCATAAAAACGGTGTCTGCTTGATGGGGAGGGACAAAAATGCCCTGGGCAGTCACAGGCAGCAACGCCCTTCCTTCCACCACCAACGGGCCATCTTGCCTCCTTTTCAGGAAATGGTGAGGGAATTGTATCTGGAAACCCTGTATAAGCATGACTTATGGCTTTACTTTGGATTGTCTTGCCATTACTGGCCACACCAAAAAAGGGTAGCTGGGAAAAATTAGGGATTGGTGCCCTGGTGGGACCCATTCCACTTGCCCATTAGTGACTAATAGCCTCTGTTTTTCCTTTTAATAAAATATATGCGTTTCAAATTAACTAGCTTTTTAAAAAAATTACCTAAGATCAGAGTATTACTGAATGGACCTTGTATTTCCCAAGCATGTCTCTCCATTGTTGTAGCATTCAGTTTATTTTTCTGTAGGAGTCTGTTGCTAAAGCTGTTAAATGGCATCAAAATCTATTGTTTCACATTTTTGATGATCCATGTTGATGATGATAAGGATAGAACTATGGAGACAGTATAGAGACCACAACAAAACCACATTCCTTTTCTTCGAATTCAGCATGCAGGAGCCAGTATATTTTCCCCTAAAAGTTCCAAAACAATTTGTCAGAAAGTAGAAAAGAAAATAGTGTGACAAGTATAGATATGTGGGTAAATACTTCTCTACAGGTTTAGAATAATCATCTTAGATTCTAGGACAGTGAACATGTAATTCATTTAACCAAATAATTATTAAAGGATTTTAAAAAATACATGACATATTGCTCTGCATGCAGAAGCTTACCTTCTAGCTAAGGAGCCAATCCATACTAGCTGAAAAGTAAAATAATGATACCAAAAAAATCAAATATTTATGAAACAGCTTTCAATGACTCTATGAAAGCGACCTATGAGGGAAGAACTATGATAAATATGTAAGTGAGGAAACTGAAAACTGAATACATTGGTCAATGTCACACAGCTGGGTGGTAGGGCTAGGATACACAGGTATATCTGATGGCAAAACTTGCTCTCAGAAATGTAATTCAGTACTGCTTTCTGACCCTACTGTTTCTCATGCTCTCGTTCTTAGGACTCCAATTGTGTTCCACCACTTCAATAAGGACTGTATTAGTTATCTATTGCTGTGTAACAAATTTCCACAAACTCAGTAGCTTAAAACAACCTCAATTTATTAGCTCAAAGTTCTGCAGGTCAGAAGTCCAGCATCCTGTGGTTGGGGTCTCTGCTCAGGGTATCACAGGCTGAAATCAAGGTGTCAACTGGGCTGAATTCTCATATGTAAACTTTGGGTAAAAATCTTCTTCCAAGCTCATTCTTATTGGCAAAATCTAGTTCCTTGCAGTTGCAGGACTGCGGTCCCTGTCTCCTTGTTGACGGTCATCCAGGGACCACTCTCAGATCCTAGATGTCCCTGTATTCCTTGCCATGTGGCCCCCTCCATCTTCAAGCCAGCAACAGTGCATCAAGTACTTCTTGTGCCTTTAATCTCTGTCTTCCTCCATCTCTGACTTCTAGACCCAGATTTAAAGGGCTCATGTGATTGGATCAGGCCCACCCAGATAATCTTTCTCTTAAGGTCAACTGGGGACTTTAATTACCTCTGCAAAGTCCCTTTTGCCATATAATGAAACAAAATTACAGGAGTGACATCCCATCATATTCATAGGTCAGGTCTTACCCACACTCAAGGGGAGGAGATGACATAAGGTCATTGAGGATCATCTTAGAATTCTGCTTACCACAAGGACTCAAAGAAACTATGGAGGAACCTAGCAATTGGGAAACAGGAAAAAGATATTTCCCTAAAGCTGTAAAGAATACAAAGTAGTAAAACAATGTGCAGTACTTGAAATAAACACAAAAATAATGAGGCTATATAAGAAAACAAGGACAGTCAATTTTTCACCAACAGAAATGTAAAATAAGTGATTTCAAACAGAAACCCTGAGTGAGAGCCTGAGTCACTGCTCAGCTTCACCAGTGGACAGCTAGTTGTAGCTAATGCTATTGGTGCTCCACCCATATTTTCTCCACACTGACAGTCCCAATATATGGGGCAGCTGCCTCTGCAACCCCCAGTCATTCCTATCTAAGGACTTTCTTTCAGCCCTCTCTTGGGGCAAGCCTGAAATGCCAGGGAGTTCATGTCCTGGGAACAGCCCTCAGGCAGTAATGGATGGAAGTTGGTGGATGAAAACCCAAACTTCCTAACTGCCCAAGTAAAAAACGAAAAACAGGGGCCAGCCCAGTGGATATCGGTTAAGTTCACGCACTCCGCTTCGGTGGCCTGGGGTTCGCCGGTTCAGATCCTGGGCACGGACCTACTCACCACTCATCAAGCCATGCTGAGGCGGCGTCTCATATAGAAGAGCTACAACTCTACAACTATGATACATAACTATGTACTGGGGCTTTGGGGAGAAGAAAGAAAAAAGAGGAAGATTGGCAATAGATGTTAGCATAGGGTCAATCTTCCTAAAACAAACAAACAAAACTCTAGGGCATGTTCTACACAGTCTCCCAGAGTTCCCTGATCAGAGAGCCCACTGATAGGATATGATAATGGTAGCTGATACACCCTTTATGGTTTCCTTCCCTTCCCCATCTTACTTCCCCTAATCTTGTTTTCTGTGATCATGTTCCAGATAGAGTACTTACACTTAAATTATTGTCTTGGGTTTATAGAATAATAGTGACTATATCTTTACATTTGGTTTCGTGGGAAAGGGCATGAACCTTAAAGAAGACAAATAGACTTGGATCCCAGCCAATGTGAGATTTAGCTTTAGTCTTCTTATTTGTAAAAAGAGGACAATAATACTTATCTCATTGCATTAAATGTGGTAATGATTATGGGTAAACTGCCTGGCTCACAGAAGGCACTCAATAAAGCCTTTCATTTTTCCTTTTTCTGGAATCCTCAGTGTCTTTCTTACTAGTATTTCTGCAGTTTCAGGAATCTGCTGTCCTGGTCCAAACAGCCTTCCCTCCCTAGATGTAGCTAACTGAGATATAGTGGAGTAAGCACAATTTTCCATACAGTTATATTTTTTCTTTAAAAACAGAACATTTTATTAAAAATAAGTAAGCCAAATATTAAGTACCCTCATATTTAAATTGAATGCGCTTAGAACCAGATATTTATAATACCTAGTTTTTTTTTGGTGCTTCACTCTGCTCTCCTTAAAAATTCTCTGAATCTCTATGGCAGTACATCTAGTCTTGGGAACAAACAGCCAGAGTGAGCATTTGACCAGTTTTCAGGAGGGCAAAGCTTTGATTCAACCATAAACTAGATTTTTTTTCTACTTTGGGCATTGATCTGAATCCAGATTCAAACCCACATCTTCTGACATATGTCAGTAAGACAATTACACTAAAGTATTGACCAAAATACTATTTTTAATGTCAAGGTAACCATCTGAGGTATGAAATATCAGAATATTGATATCTCTGGCATCAGATAGGCTGGGTTTAAATCCCAGCTCTGCCACTTATTAACTATGTGACCCAAGGCAAGGTAACCTCTTTATGCCTTTGTTTCCTCTTCTGTTATGTAATGATAATAAGAGGATTGTTGTAAGAATGAAATGAGTCAATGTGTGTAAAACACTTAAAGCAGTTCCTTGCATAAGCTCTTTGTAAATATTAGCTATTATTATTTTTGATATTATTATTTGGTTAATGATCTCCCTTGTGATGTTGTCTCTATCAACATGGGAATGTGGACACTTTTTTCTCTTCCCATAGTGTGTATGTCCTGGAAGGATGTTGTTCTAAAACTATTTACTTGTTCTAGAACTGTTCACTTGTCTGTATCTCCTTTAGACTGTCAGGTCTTTGAGGACAGACCTATCCTTTATGAATTTCTATATCTCCTATTTATTGAATAAATTAATCTGAGCTAGAAACTATGTTGTTAGATATGTTTTCTGTCCAAATTTATATTTTACACAATTAAGGCATGGATTCCAGAAGAGACTTTTTATGTCACTGGTATGAGAACCTAAAACATTGGTTAAGCCGGCTATGCCACTTACTGGCTATTTGACTTTGGGAAGATGACTACATCTATCTGAGCCTCAGTTTTCTCATCTATTGAATGGGTAGAATGGTATAGTTTTTAGTGTGGTTGTGAGAATTAAATGAGATAATATATATCTAATTCCTGGAGCAGAGAAAACCTTCTTGTTAACAATTACTACGTATTTTCATTCTTTTCCCCTTAATACAAAGTGCTGTTCAACAAGAATTCGAAGACAACTGGACAGGAACCTCACCTTCCATAAAATGGTGGCATGGATGATTGCACTTCACACTGGTAAGTTTATTAAGATATTTGAGATTGCAAAGAAAACTTGGAACCAGACACTTCCCTCTATTCTTAGATACTGTTTTTTTAAATAAGACATTGGCCTTTATTGGTAGATTAGGTGGTGATTGGATATGTTGTATTTTTTGAATGAGTTATGTTAAAAAATATTCACCACTATTTCTGCCATTCCAATATTAAGACTTATTCCTTCAAGTCTTAAAACGTTTTTTATCTTGGGCTCTTCTGATAAAATCCCAGTGTCTTTACCCTTTTCCACCCTTTTTAATATCAAAAATGTTTGTTAGTCCACATATGAGAGCTTCTATTCATTCATTTTTTAAAAATACTTGGTTGAAGGGCTGGCCCCATGGCGTAGTGGTTAAGTTTGGTGCACTCTGCTTCGGCAGCCCAGGTTCGTGGGTTCAGATCCCAGGCATGGACCTACACCACTCATCAGCCATGCTATGATGCTTTATATGTGGCAACCCACTCAAAGTAGAAGAACATTGGCAACAGATGTTAGCTCAGGGCTAATCTTCCTCAGCAAAAACAAAACAAAACAAAACAAAACAAAAATTTGGTTGAACATGTAGATTTGTGGATTTCTTACAGTAAGCCTATAGGGGCCACAGCCCATAAGTTCAGAATCCCTTAAGATAGCCCCTATTAGCTAAACACTTTATTATTATTATTGTTTATATGTATATACAAATGTAGATGTATATACACACATAAAGTAGGTATACATGTGTATATATATATATATATACTATATACTATGTGTTATTGTTATAATTATTAACGTGGTAGTGTTGGCACAAGAAGGGATATATCTGGGACCCTTATCAAATCTTCACTTATTCACTTAATAAATAATTGATGTTCCAGACAATAGGCATGCACACATACACAGTGATGAACAAAGTAGATGTTTACTCTGCCCTTAAGGAGTTTGTCCATAACCTGAGTAAAATACACTTAGATTTCAGGTATTCAACTGAGTTTCTCAGCTCCTACTAGTAGATAAGTGCAGGCTTTTTGAGCTGTGGCAAATGAAGTCTTTCAAAAGTGAAATGTATGATAAAATCTTGTTAGAGAGCAATATAGTGTAATTGTTTAGAGCATAGATTTGTGTGCCAAACTGCTTGGATTTCATTCTTAACTTTGCTACTTCCTACCTTGGTGACCATAGATTTTAAAGCAATCTGTGCCCCAGTTTCCTCGTCTGTAAGATGGGATGATAATAATGGTACCTAAATCATTGGATCAATATAATGATTGAGTAATTAGAAAGCATCTGTAACAGTGCTTGGCACCTAGTAAGTCCTATGTAAGTGCTTGTTAAGTAAAAAATGCAATTTTTTAAAAAGAATTTCATTCTTATGCCCATTGGTTTGTATCAGTTCAATAAAATTTTGCCATCTCTGTCTGGAGTAATGTCAGAGTCAGATGAATGGACCAGTCAAAGGTGTACATTACATGCGAGTCTTCTTGTTTGAGCACAAATATATCAGGGGGAGAGAGAATGAAAGCACATCTAAATATCCTCAGAGACCAAGGTTATTTTGTAAAATCTTAGAACTGGTTGGGTCTTTAAGATCATCTAGTTCAACACCTTCATTTTACAAACGAGGAAACCAAGACCGAAGAGGTTAAGTGATTTGCCTATGATCATACAACTACAGAGTAGCTTACCCACTAGAATTACCTTGCCTCTCTGATCCTGGAGACCCACTTCTTGTTTATAAGTGTCCTGGGCCATCCCTGTATCTCCCGGTAACTTATCTTAGAGTTAGGGGCTGTAGCTGGAAACTCAGCTTACAATAAAGTTGTGCACAACTTTCACCCTCTGTTTCTCTTCTCTGCCTTCTTTAGCGATTCACACCATTGCACATCTATTTAATGTGGAGTTCTGTGTGAATGCCCGAGTCAACAATTCTGATAATTATTCAATAGAACTCTCTAACATAGGAGATAAGCCTGGTGAAGCTTACCTCAATTTTGCTCGAGAGAGAATCAAGGTAAGCCTCTTGTTTCCTGATCCAGATGTTCCCTAAGGCCATTAAAACTGAGAACTAGATTTTAGTGAGTGAAAAACTACTTGGCCAGAACAACAACAATGACAAAAGTTGACTAACAATCAGAGGGACAAGTTTGTATATTCTAAGAATGTGTGTACAATGAAAATGTCTCCCATACTCCCAACCCCATGTGTGGAGGGTCACTAGGTGTTTTCCAGTTACTTAAGCTCACTTGTGAGAATGTGCATATGTGGAGCCTGGAGTAATTCAGGCTCACCCATGACAATGCCCAACAGTCAAAGAAAGCCAGGAACATAGTCTGGTGAAACAAGGTTGGGTTTATTGCTTGCTGCAGCAAAAGAGACCTCACACCATGAAGAAGTCTGGGGCATCTCAGGAGGGTGTTAAGAGAGGCTTTTCTAGGACTTGGGTTTGTGTTAGGTGCTTTGGGAGGGGTTTAAGGAAGCAAGGATTTGCTATGGATCGGGTATGGTCAAGAATTGGGGATAGTTCTAGGATTTGGTATCTTAATTTTTTTTTAGGAGGCAGAAGGAATAGAATGGGGCTAAATCTGTAGTAGGTGAAGAAGCAGCAGTCACGCTTGTTTGTGTCTTGGCTTAGACATGATTTCAGAGTGGTCTTGTTTTTGTCTCACTCCATCACAGTCACAGAATGACCTCATCTGATGTTGGTGTTGTATGAAATTGTTTATATGAAATAGGAAACACTCCGGCTTAGGTGTTAGTACCAGGCCAGCCACCAGCTGATAACTGTCAGCGATGCTTTTCTTCTTTCTTGCCTACAACATCTGAGGGGTGGCCTATGTCTGCTAACTGTCATTCCTTGAGGAGCACAGTACACTGGGAGGAACTCAGCAGTTCTACGGGGGCAGCCATTTGGGGTATCCACAAGCAAGGACTTCTTCCCTTCCAGCAGTTGTTGAACCTTTCTACAGTCAGAGGGAGAAGCTCCAAGTCATCTTCATGTACCCAGTGGCTTGGGAGGATGGCCAAATCACACTACTATACACTGAATTCCAAACATGTTTCCTTGTGTTTAGAAAAGATTACAAGAAAAGTCCCTTAATTTTGCAAAAATAATTATCCTCAAGCTGGTATGAAAAAACTTGCCTGGTCTACTTAGGAACAGAATTAAACAGCATCAAACAAAACAGAAATTCTTTTTCTATAATGTCTTGGATAATTTTTCTTTTCCATTGTTCAGTGTTTGTACAATGAAATATAAGGGTGGGAATGGGAACATACTAGGTGAGCTGACACTGCCATGATGTGCCCAGATATCTTTGGGTCACTTTTACTGTGTCTATGCTCCCCTACCCTTCTGTGTGCTTTCACTTTCAATTTCTTGTACTTGCATTTCGTCCCTTTGCTCACAAGCTCAGAGATCTGGAAGGGACTGGCTAGCTACCCCTCCCCGGGCAGCCCTTAGCCAATAACTGATGGGTGTGGGCCATGAAAGCCTGGCTTTCTTGTCTTGAGTCAGGATAAACTCTGAGGTGTAACTTACCCTCTGCAGTTCCCCGGCAGCATCAGGCTGAAGTTACCCTCTATAAGACTTGGCCTGAAATCACCCTCTTACTTGAGTTGTACCTCTTTCCTGTCCTATTAACCATTTCCTTACCAGTTTCTTCTGGAGCACATCCTTTTTAAATCACTTGCCCATGAACCCTCATCTCAGGGTCTGCTTCGGGAGAACCCAGCCTGAGATGTTAGGTATGCCCAGAATACATTTGCAAACTAAGCACTGTGGCCCTTTTCAAATCAAAGGGAGAAAGAGCTTCAGACCCTTTTAGGACATCTTACAGTTGACTGCTTTCCTTTATTTGATACTCCCTTAGAACTATTTCAGTGTATCAATTCACACTTCCTATGACACCTCAACCATATAAGACTTTTTTAAATTGAGAAATATCTATTCCAAGTCTATATCACTTTGTGAGGGATGGTTAGGATTATCTAAAGGGGGAATGAAAATGCCTATTGCCCTGTTCATCAGACACTTTATAAATAAGAAGTCCTGTATTTGAAAGCCTACAAATAATGTGTTTGTGTGTGTGTGTATGTGTCTGTGTGTGTGTGTTTGTTTTTTACAGAATCCTGAAGGAGGCCTATATGTAGCTGTGACTCGGTTGGCAGGCATCACTGGAATTGTCATCACGCTGTGCCTCATACTAATTATCACTTCCTCCACCAAAACCATCCGGAGGTCTTACTTTGAAGTGTTTTGGTACACACACCATCTCTTTGTGATCTTCTTCATTGGTCTCGCCATCCATGGAGCTGAGTGAGTGTTTAAGCTCTGAGGCCAAGTACTTTATGTCCCTCAGTTTCCAGGTGAGGTGCTCTGTTAGAGGCACAGTGACCTCATCTGTGTGTTGTCAGCCTGTCTGCTGAGGGAATATGAGGGGACAACAGAGGTCAGTTTGATAGAAACCACTCAGCAGCACTTTAGTTTCTTGTACTCAATTAATAGCTTATTCATAGTGCAGTTATTTATAGCAAGCTTGAAAAATACACCAAAGTTTGAATATCTTTGCAAGTGTATTCAACGTGTTACAAGTGCTGGTAGGGTCTTGGATGGCTGCAGTGATGTTTCCTGTGGCTTAATCACTAGTAAATGAGACAAACTCCCAAACTGGAGGGGTTAATGATTAACCAGGTGAAAGGGTTTGCTGTAGTTCAATGAGTTTTGATTCAAGCCAATCATTTATTGATTGCCTACTGTGTATGAGGACCGATCTCAAGCACCGTCGGGAGTCCTAGGAGGAAAAATATATGGTTATTGCCTTCAAGCATTCTAATATAATAAAGGTAAGAGCTAACTTCTATTGAGCACTTGTTAGAGACATGAAATGTTTCTTTTAATCCCCAAAAGGTAGATATGCTCTTACTATCCACATTTCCTGGGGAAATTGTATACAAGGAAACAGATTAAAAATAAAATATGTAGCTCAAGCCACCCAGTTTGTAAGTGGCATAGCTGGGATTGGAGTCTAGGTGGTCAAAGCAGGCTGTGATAAATGCTCTCATAGAGACACGCAGTGCCTAGATGTGTGGTTGGGAGAGTTTGCCTAATTGGGAATCTTCTTTAATACCAGGTTTCGTTTATTCTACTGTTTCACACCAGCTGATATCCCACCTGCACACAAAAGCAGGCCTGGGGAAGTTCCCTAGTGGGTATGAGGCTCTAGATAACTAAGGGTGGAGGAAGTAGATGCTCAAGGTCCAATGACTCTGCTCAGAGCCCAGTCAGCCTAGAGGTGGCCAAGTAGAAAAAGGGGAAGGGTGGGGAGAAGCAGCATTAGGCAACCACTTGTGTGTTTTCTTGATTGACTTCCTGACTCTGACCCCGATCAACTCTTTCTAAGCACTGAAGAATCTGTGTAGACAAAGAATCTCTTTACTCTCCTAAAGCAATTGAGTATCTTTAAATGGGACTTGGTCATAATCCAGCTGTTTCAGAGAATCCTAGAGAAAACAATGAATCTCTTCCCCTCTCTAGTTTAGTAATTCCACCACTTTACACTAATATAGTTTCATAGATATGCATTTTACTTTGGAGCAGGCAGAGGAGATATATTTACCCCATTCTCCATTTGAGGAGAATCTGCTACTTCCACTGGTTGGCTGATTGCTCACAGTCTTATGGCTAGGTAGCAGTTGAACTGGGATTAAAATCCAGGTTTTCTGACTTCTGGTCCTGGCATTGAGAAGAGAAGGAGAAAATCAGATTTTTTTTCTGTCACTCCCTATGTGAACTTGGGCATTAAGAACTTTAATAGTTATCATTTTTTGGACCCTTACTTTGTGTCTGCATTTTTTATGCATCATGCCAATTAATTACCCCAATCAGTTGTTCACTTAATATTTATTGAATTGAAGTCAATGGGCTCCGAGCACTTCAAGAGACACACTATTAGTGTTGATGTCTGTGAGAATGTCATAGTCTCCGCAAAGTTGTCTTAAGTTGATTTCAACCTTTTGATTTAATTTAGACAATTTTGAAACAACAAATAAAGGACTTGTACTAAGCCTCAGGGCTACTGTGTGTGATTGTATGGGTTGTCGACTATACAAGGGTGCCCGGCCAAGGGGAATAAAATTAGCCCAGGCTCTGCTGGCCAAGTTCCATGCCTGTAGGACTGTTCTCACAGAGGGGGCATCTTGTTCTAATTTGCACAAAGGCACTATATGGGCTAGCAGTCACTCTGTTAGATTTGCAGTTTTTCTGTTTTTGTTTGTTTGTTTGTAAACGAAAATAATGCTCAAAACAGAAGCACAAATGCTCCCTTTAAGAAAACATGTATTGAAAAGATCGAAAACTTACCCTCTATAATGTTACATATAAATAATTTTTGTGCCACTGTACATACTTTTTTTCTATTGCTGAAGATCACTTATTTTCTTTCTCTTCCTCTAATCTGTTTGGAGGGGGCAATAAGATATTACTTTTAAGTGAAAAGTACAGGACCCACATTAGAATACTTAAAATATGCCCAGAATCTCAAAAAACTAAGAACTTAGTTTCTTGCTACTAAATGGTCTGAACTTACATTTCTTCCTCAGGCGAATTGTACGTGGGCAGACCCCAGATAGTTTGCAGAAGCACAACATAACAATATGTCATGATAAAATCACACAGTGGGGAAAAATAGAGAAATGTCCAGTCCCGAAGTTCTCTGGGAACCCTCCTATGGTATGTACAATTCATTGTTGCTATTACAGTTTCATTACTGACAATCTTCAAACTGTGTCTAAGAAATACATACAAATATCATAGAGTTGTCCTTTACGAGTGTCATGGAACTGCTAGAATGTTGTAAGTTTCTACTTTTCTCTGCTATACTTATTGTCTAGAATTATTTCTTGAAAAATAAGCTTTCATTCGTCTATTATGCATGTCTTGATATGAAACTTGGAAAAGCATTGTTTTTGAAAGTGCTGTTTGGCTTCAAGAATTTCCATCTCTTCTCTTCTGGGTATGAGGGCCACAATAATACTAGTTAATGACCTTCAGAAGGATTCCATCCTGAGCAGAGTTGGATAGCTCAGATAATCACTTAGAAGGAGGTAGGAGCCTCTTCAGATACCAGGAAGCAAGCCTTTCTCTACAGCTTTCAGAGCCAAGAAGGAAATTGATAAGGTGATATACGGGGCTCCCTTTAGGCATCAGGAGATCCTGTCTATGAGGCATAAAGGAGGTTGGACAGCCAGGTTTATACCAACATTCGAAGGCACTGCATGGTAGAGCAGGAGTGTGGCGGGGAAAACACGCTGAAAGAGCCTCCATTTTGTGTATTCTCAATATCTCTGCTCCATTGAGTGAGAAGTGGGCCCTGTGATCTTCATATCTTTTTCCCCATTGGCATACAGTATTCTTTATTGGTTATCATGCTAGCCATTGGTATAGAACTAGGCAAAATCAGCATTTGTGCAGGACTTCTGAACAGGATTATTATTTTTTTCAAGTACAGTATAATATAAAGGCAAATTTCCTGTCCCATTTTCTCCTTTCTTTTTTCCTACTCTTCTAATATAGGAGTATTCTTCCTCTAGACAGAACATGCTGTCTGGGGACTTAACATCTTTAAGCATCCTTGCTCATTAATGAAAGCAATTAGACACATCAGTGAACTCCCACTACACGCAGACATCAATAGAAAGGATAAAAAGGGAACTGTATTGCAGGTCCTCTTATGGGCTAGGGGAAGGCACGTTTCCTCGAAGACAGCTGGAGTCAGAGTACTACTACCTTAACAGACATCTACCTCAAAGGAACTTCTGGGTTTCTGGGGATGATTAGAGTCAATGTCCAAGACCTGGCTCTGTTCAATGGGGCTCCATGGTGGCACCCAGGTAACAGATGGATGATACCATACTGTTTTAAAAACCTGTCTCATGAAAACAATGGCCAGTAGCAGAACATTTCTAACTTCTGGGGCAGATATTCTTTAACTTTGGCTGGAGATAGAGATATTCAGGTACTCGCAACTTCCAACAATAAGTTTCTAAAAAAATAATTTAATAGAAAGACCATATGTGAGACTATGGGAAGCAGTCCATGATTTTTTTTTTCCCTCTTGGAATCCGTTCTGGAATGTCATCTTTTAGATGATATTGCCTTCTATAATTCTTTACTTCTTCAGGTATTAAACTAGAAACCTAACTGACTGAGTCCCAGGATGGATCTTTGTGGCCTAAATATTTTAATACAGCCAATAATGCCACAGGGTAGTTCCAGTGTTCTGAAACACTGCAGATTCTGACAAGAGGGGAATCCAGAGAAATCTGAAAGTCTTTGGGTTTGTCCCTATTCAGCAAGTGCATTGCATAGCTCCTAGAACTTAGCAGGATATTGGAGAAACAGCTAAATTCTTGCATGAAATTTCTCATGTTGCAAAAGATAAAACTTTGACTACATAACTCAGAGAAAGAAATTGCAATGTTGTGTTAAAAATATGGTGTTGCTGAAATACTATCCTTTAGAGAAATGTTAATTCTGAAACCAGCCTTGCTTTGCTGTAGGGTTATTGCAACTGCTGTTGTGACACTAGGAGGAAATCCTATTCTTGTGGGCAGTTCCTCTTGGGAAAGTTTCATACTGTAGATATAGTTCCCCAATGTGGCAAAGGAGAATGTTCATTTTTACTGGCTCGAAAATTTATTTTAATGTTAGATATTTGTCATGCATTCTATTTTAGAAGAAATTTACTAATCAAATATCAAATATTTAAACAAGCCTACAAAGATTAACTTGACTTTCACAATTTTTTGTCCCCATGAATCTTTTATTAGCTGTCACCCTTTAACACATGCTTTTTTCATTTTTTGCTCTGATTACAGACTTGGAAATGGATAGTGGGTCCCATGTTCCTGTATCTCTGTGAGAGGTTGGTACGGTTTTGGCGATCTCAACAGAAGGTGGTCATCACCAAGGTATTGGCTGTTTTAGGAATTACTGATAGCACCTAACTATATCATGGACAAGTCTACCCAAGTTCTCTATATCATTGGTCAGAGCTCTTTTTTACTCAGTTTCTTTTGATTAAATTTATGGCAGAGAGAAGACCTACAGTTTATTTCAATGTACTGAGCTTGATAATCAAGTGGTTGGGCCTTTTAATTGGGGAAACTAGAAGTTAACATTTTCTGCTGAAAAATGAACCCAAGTGTTTTGTGTACATGAATCTGTGTGTGTGTATGTGTGTGTGTTTGTGTAGAGGGGAGGAGCATAGAGTGATTGATTATCTGATTAGTTAAGAGTGGATAAGCAAAAGAGGTGAGTTCAAAAGGGCATATGCTGAGCCTTAAAATATTCAGATGCCAAAAGAACCAGGGAACCAAGAGTAGGTCTGATTAACGTTGAGATAGTTTTCTAGGTCCCCTTTACCTCCTTTTCTGTGCTTTGTATATAATCACAGAATATTAGAGTTAAAGTGCCCAAAGTACCAAGCAAGTTAGTAACTAAACTGCATTTAGAATTGAGTCTCCTGACTCCAAGCATATAGTGGCTTTTTCCCCATGCTTCTGTACTGCTTCTCATCAATCAATCAATATCCAACAAAATAAATAGAAATGGAAACTCCTTGTTATAGTTTTAGGAAACACCAGACAAAATTATTTTTATCAAATAAAAATTAATTCAATTCAATTCAGTTCAAAAGTATTTACCAAAAGCCTACTATGGGTTGTTTTTGCAAAACACACAAATTCTTCCTGTCCTCCACCCTAGCTTTTCTTTCTTGGCATCTGTGGAGGGTGATAGTAAAGTTACTCCAGCTGGCACTGGAAATCTTGAAATAAATATAGGAAGCTACAACAGTTCTTCTTTTATGATACCTAGGTTGAATTATAAGAAAAATCCCACAGATCAGCAAAAAGAGCTGCCACAAAATTTCCCTTACTAGATGAGAACTGACTAACCAGACAAATATTTCCCTTAAACACATTTCTGAGGCGGACTTGTTTTCTTGTGAAGAAAATATTCATTTTTTTCTCATATCAACACACATAAGAAACAAGGTGTTACCCAAAACTATTCCAGTTACAATGCTGTCCACTAGTACATTTTATTTAATTCAATCCCAATTTTGCCTGTGGCTGCAAAATTGCAATATGGTAAAAATTGTTTTCACCATACAAAATCGCAACATGGTAAATATAATTTTCAAAATAATTTTTGTAAATTTTTGTTTTCTGTTTTCGAAATGAAGCTTTACAACTCCTTATTTCAAGGAAGAAGGGAAGTTGGTTACAGGTTTATCAAATAAGATATATTTAAATCACAAGTTTTGGAAATATTTGGCAACTTTTATTAAAAGGATTTCCCATTCTCCCATTCCTCAGTCACAAAAAGAAAAGCCCAGCAATATCAGTCAACATTGGGAAGCTGCTCTTTTGTTTCCATTGATTTTTCTTTCCTTTGATGTCCCTTGGTTTATTTTTAGTTGTACAGATAAAGTCCTTCTAGGCATCTCAGGAATCGTAAAAAAAAAAAAAAAAAAAAAAGAGTATATTACTTTCTGTATTACCATGAGAGTTTTTCATTGTGTTTTATTTTTTTAAAATTATTTACCAACTCACCAGTTGATGGACATTTGGATTGTGTCCAATTTTTTGCTATTATGAACAAATTGGTTATGAACATTTGTGTACATGGAGAATGAGGATGGCAATGGGTGGGTAGGGCCTGGCTTTGGGAGAGATGGATGGCGTATTCCCAAGGTAGGGAGAAATGTATAAACAATGCATGGAATCAGGTGGGTTCAAGGTGCGACTCAGAACAAAAGTAGACCAGCACCGTTAGGCTTGCTTTGGGGGATGTTGATATATAAGTAGCCAATGGAGGCTCCTTCTTCTTCTATCCAGCTGCTAAGGCTCTGGATCATCCCCTGGGGAGACAGGAAGGCTGAGCAGGAAACCATCTCTTCTTCCTGTTTCTAGCACCTGCCTTGACTTCTTAGAGAAAAAAAAATATCACAGTAGGCTGGTGTCTTACGTTGGATTCCCTGGAAGGACTCTGAGATAGAAAACTGCATGCAGAGGTTTATTGGGGCATGTTCTCAGGAGACGAACCTATAAAAGAAAAGAAAGGCAGGATTGGGGAGAGGAAAAAGCTGACCCTCAAAGTGGTTGCAACTGCGGCCTCAGTTAATCCTACAGGGAGTGCTGGAGTTGGATGGTCGCTCGGAGTTGTCCCAAATTGAGGAGAGGAGCCAGGTTTGTATCCCTGCATCAGCTCATTGTTGACCATGGGCTGCAGCCGAGGGCAATTCCCAATGAGAGACACATCTGGTAGAGGAACTGCTGTGTTGGCCCTGAAGAAGGGACTTGGGTGGGGCATCTTAGCTCAGTCTTTTATCCATATGGACACAGAAAAGGCAAGTATTTGGGGAAAGTGTAGTTTCCAGAGACATGCTTTGTTCCCTAGGTGGTCACTCATCCTTTCAAAACCATCGAGCTACAGATGAAGAAAAAGGGATTCAAGATGGAAGTGGGACAATACATTTTTGTCAAGTGTCCCGTGGTGTCCAGGCTAGAGTGGCACCCTTTCACACTGACCTCTGCCCCTGAGGAAGACTTCTTTAGCATCCATATCCGCATTGTTGGAGACTGGACAGAGGGACTGTTCAAGGCTTGTGGCTGTGATAAGAAGGAGTTTCAAGATGCCTGGAAGCTACCTAAGTGAGTACAAAGTGCACATTACGAAGGTGTACGAATTCAGGAAAAATGTCACTAAATAGCTCCTCTTCTCCTGTCTCTCACTATACTATCTCCTGAGTCTGACAAAACACACAGGTTCTAGAAATATAGGTAGCTATCTCTGTGTTCCCCATTTTATGTTTGTGGTGTGTTTATGCATATATATATATGCATATAAATCTTATGTGAAATATAAAATATTTGAATCAAATATTAATAATTAATATTCCCAAATTCCTTTAAATATGTAAGGATCAAGGCCAAGGTATATTAATATTCCTAACAAACAGAATTATAGTGTATCAAAGATATTCTTAAAATTTAAGTACCACACATTATTTGAGGATAAATGCCATAGGTTATTCACTTTGCCTCTTTCTTCCCACATGCCTAACATGGTGTCAGGCACTTGGTAGATGATAAAGACAAGTTTGTTGAATAACTCAATGAATAGACAAATGAAAAGTGTGTGTGTGAGTGTGCATGTGTGTGTTGTGGGTGAAGGGGGTGGGAATATAAAAAAAATACCCCTGAGAGTTACCAAATGTTTTCAGTTAGCTAAAATTTCCTCTTTTTTACTTCCAATTCCAATGATGACACTAAATTGGTTACTTGAAAGCTATTTCATAGAAGGAAGTGCCCCATAGATACACTGTTCCAGTTTGAAGTGACATATTGCACACTCCCAGTAATAATGTGTGCCCCATCCTACTCTGAAGAGCAAGATATCTCTGTAACCATCTCCTCCCATGCTTCCCTCCAGGATAGCTGTTGACGGGCCCTTTGGCACAGCCAGTGAAGATGTGTTCAGTTACGAGGTGGTGATGTTAGTAGGAGCAGGGATTGGGGTCACACCCTTCGCATCCATTCTCAAGTCAGTCTGGTACAAATATTGCAATAATGCCACCAATCTGAGGCTCAAAAAGGTAGGTTCTTTCATTTTTCACAGGGCTTGGAGCTATTATCACATTCTGCCGAGTAAAGCCTGAGAAGGCTTTCGGGGCAGAGACCAAGGGAGGTGAAGACAGTTCTGGGTGGTTCCAGAGAGACAGGCTACTCATAAAAGAGCTATGTGATAAGTTAAATGTGCTTCTATATAAGAAGGCCTATTATTGAAAGTAATATACTGTATTTGTATAGCATTACTAGAAATTCAGAAGAAAGAAAGTTGGGAGAGAAAGAAAGCATTCACAACCCCAATCCGATAGCTTTTCTTTTTGTACATTCTCTTCCAATATTATCCATGTGTTTACATATTTTTAGAAAGCTGTAAATATTGAGTATGTATAATTTCATGTCCTGTTTTTTTTTTTTTTGGTGAGGAAGATTGGCCCTGAGCTAACCTCTGTTGCCAATCCTCCTCTTTTTGCTGAGGAAGAATAGCCCTGAGCTAACATCTGTGCCAATCTCCTTCTATTTTGTATGTGGGATGCCACCACAGCATGGCTTGATGAGCGGTGCGTAGGTCTGCACCCGGGATCCGAACCTGCGAAGCCCGGGCTGCCGAAATGGAGCCCACAAACTTAACCACTACACCACTGGGCCGGCCCCTCATGTCCTGCTTTTTTAAAAAACATATTACACTGCTTTTCAGTGTTGTCACAGGCTCTATAATGATCATTTTTAATGATTCCTTCTTGTTCCATTGAGAGGATATAGAATAATTTTTCTATCATCCTATGTTAGATATTGAGATTGATTCCATTTCCTGCCCTCCCGATACTTTTTTTTTGCAGGGGGAGGGCAGGAGACATGTTCTTTCATGTACTTTTACTTTCTTATGGATATCGCCTCAGAATAAATTCTCAGGGGATTTTTTTTGTCACATGTTAATTTGGTTTCATTGCCTGATAAAGGACATCTTTAACAAAACTTGAGATATTTTAATACTGTAGAGATAACCTCTAATAGGGACATTGAGCTTGCCTTGACTTTTCATTCTCTCCTTTTCCTCTTTTCTCTGTGGAGGAGGTGTGGGTAGAACTACTTTTTTCCCAAGGAACTCAGGAATGTCTGGCAGTGGCAGGCAGGGAAGCAGTCCTGTGGTAGCCACTACTAGTCTAGATTCCAGTGATCTTTCTGAGAGGAGATACAAAGGAAGCCAGAGATTCTGGGAGGACAAGAGCAAACACAGAGGGAAAGTTGTGGGCTAATGTTTTTTTCTTAAGCTATGAATTCTGAGGCCAAGCTATTTATTTACTGCCCTGCCAGTGTGAAGGCCAGAGCAAGTTCGTGTGAACTAACTTGTCAAATGCCCATAGCTTTCTGAAAACCCAATTCTAAGCATTCTGAGCAGCAGGAAAAAGTTGGGGAGAGGGTAGAAATCCCTATGTCAATGCTGATAGGTCCTATTTAAATATAATCTGCTTCCTGATCTGTCCGTCTTTCAGATCTACTTCTATTGGCTGTGCCGGGACACACATGCTTTTGAGTGGTTTGCCGACTTGCTGCAGCTACTGGAGACCCAGATGCAGGAGAGGAACAATGCCGACTTCCTTAGCTATAACATCTATCTCACTGGCTGGGATGAGTCTCAGGTAAGGACAAGATCCCAAATCTCTGGTCCTTCCCATGGTGCCCACGGCTGTCTGACTTCCCCTTGGTTATTGGAGTGGCTTGTGCACTGTATTTACCAAGAACAGTTGATAGATTCGGGTAATCCAGCCCGTTTACTCTCACTCAATATTCCCCACGTGTTCAGACAGTTGAGACTAGATTTAAAGTTGATATCTGTGGAACACATCAAAGCTAAAAAGCCTACAATGAATAAAAGCCATGACTTTGAACTTATTAGAGCAGTGCTTCCACCAGGGGGTCTCGACCCAGGTGGATAAGATGATCCATCAGGTTATGGGAAGACAGTATTAGCTTTCTCTCTTTCTCTCTCCCTTTATACACACACATTTATACATACACATGTATATCCCTTTAATTTTATGTTTACACATGTTTTGTAATATACAGAATACATTTAAGTAGTAGTATTAATAACTGCTAATAGTTATTAAGCATATACTATGTGCCAAGTACTGTTCTTATTGTTTATACAGATTGTCTAATTCAATCTTTGCAACAACCTTATGATGTAACTACTATTATTATTCACATTTTACAGATGAAGAAACCAAGGCACAGAACAGGTTAGGTCATTTGTCCAAGGGCACCCAGCTAGTAAGTGGCAGAGTCAGAATGCTCCACAGCCTACACTCTTAGCAACTCCCGGTAGTTCACGATTATCATTTATAAGTAAATCAAAATATATCTAATGAAGGAGATATATACATGTGTGTATATTTGTGTGTATATGTGTGTGTGTGTGGTGTATATACATATATATATATATATATAGAGCCCCTCTCCCTCCAGGGACCTTTAGTAATGTAAACACTCTACAATTCACAAGATAACCCCCCACAACAAAGAATTATATGGCCCCAAATGTCAAAAGGGCCTTGATTAAAAAATTCTGAAACAAATTAATGATTCCTAGGGGATAACATCTTTCTAAATAAGCAAACATTAATGACTTGGCCTAGAAGCAGCATAAGCTGTCCCCGCTGAGTGAGGAGCTAAGGCAAGAAAGAGTCTCTGCCTATTCCTAGCCAATGTCTCAGCTGGCCATACCCATACATTGGTTCCTCAACCCTGGGCATCTTTCACATGTACCTTGTACCTGTGAAAACTGACTTCTCATTTGGGTTTTGGCATAATGTTGATCATAGATCCTCCAAGTCTTAGAAGAGTCTTGTTGCAAATGTAGATCCAGGGACACATGACGATGATAGTTGCTGCTCCAGAAAAAGTGGTTTCAAGATGTCACTTCTGCAATTTAAAAGCAAAACAGCAACAACAAAAAATATTTGATAAAAACAAAACCCAGGAAAAAATCTGTAATATATAAATTGCTTTGCCGTTTTGTTTTTTAAAAAGCCAGACACAGTTTTTTTAATGGGACATTTATTTGCATTGAAAAATAGTTATTTTGCTTTGCAAAACTGGTCCCTACAAGATTATTAAACCAGAGTAACTACCTTTCTTAACCTCATCCATCCTCTGTCCAGTGAATTTAAAACTTGATTTAATTTTTAAATAAATTTAATTAACCGCTTTTATGAAAAATATCTGTTGTTCAAACTGAGGCCCCCTAGAATGGTAGCTAAGAACAACATGTGACTATGTACACACACACACACGGACTGGCTTTAGGCTTGGTTTTATGTCTCATTATGTTACCAAATATGAATGCATTTTAATCTAGGATTGTTTTAATTCTTGGAGATTCTTCCAAAGGAGTGGGAGTATATTAAGGTGAGGAGAGAAAGTCGTAGAGCAGATGAAATGTAGAGCAGAGAGAAAAATAGTGAGACAGAGAATTTAAATCCTACCTACACTTCGAAGCCTGACTCAAATGCTGCCACCCTGAAACCTTCCCGTATCTTCCCACCCTACCTTCCTTCTTTCCTCTCACTGAGGGGTTTGTGCCTCTTCCATGGCACTCATCATACCCAATTCTACAAATAGGATTATTCATGTTTATACTTCAAGGTCTGCCCTTCTAGATTGTAAATTGCTGAAGGAGACCTAGTTTGTTCATCTTTGTTTACCTTCTAGCCTTCAGCCTGGTGCCTTGCCCCAAACATGTATATGGTTAGAATGGGTAGTGAGAACTTGATTTGTGAGATATGTAAATATATCTGTGTGGTTTTTTTACAGCATGTCTTTTTTTGTTTTCTGAATTCATGTCCTTTCTTGCAGGCCAATCACTTTGCTGTGCACCATGATGAGGAGAAAGATGTGATCACAGGCCTGAAACAAAAGACTTTGTATGGACGGCCCAACTGGGACAATGAGTTCAAGACAATTGCGAGTCAACACCCAAAGTAAGGAGACCCCACCAGGGTGTTCTTGAGGCTCATGGTTTACCTAAAGCAGCAGCTCCCAAACATGGCTAGATTTGCATATTCTGGAAACTAAAATACCTAGATTACTATATTCACACCCAATAGAAAGTTCTAGATATCTGTGACTTTAAGAAGGAGTCTTTAAATCACACCAAAATTACCTGGAGAGTTATTATGTATAAACAAAGATTCCCAGGCCCTCACCTCAGACTTTCTGAGCCCTGCTCCTCCCAAGTAGGGCCATAACTCAATTCTTTTCTTTTGTCTCCTAAATTTCACTAGAGTAGGAGCTGGCCCCGTGGCTTAGTGGCTAAGTGCGTGCGCTCCGCTACTGACGGCCCAGGTTCGGATCCCGGGCGTGCACCGACGCACTTGTCCGGTGTGCTGAGGCCACATTCCACATACAGCAACTAGAAGAATGTGCAACTATGACATACAACTATCTACTGAGGCTTTGGGGAGAAAAAGGGAAAAAAAAAGGAAGATTGGCAATAGATGTTAGCTCAGGGCCAGTCTTCCTCAGCAAAAAAAGAGGAAGATTGGCAATAGATGTTAGCTCAGGGCCAGTCTTCCTCAGCAAAAAAAGAGGAGGATTGGCATGGATGTTAGCTCAGGGCTGATCTTCCTCACAAAAAACAAAAAAAATTCACTAGAGTATTTACTTCTTTTAATTCAATACGATTTATACTTATTAGTAAGGAGACACTGTCTCCACTTTCAGTTTTAGCTTTCAAGTCTAAAATCGTAAGTTGACGGACATCCCAAAGTCCTTTCTGCCCTCGCTAAAGTTTTAGCGAAACATCATGAAACTTTGAAGGGATCCTCCATTTTGCTAGAACACATGATAAACTCAAGAAATCACCATAAATATATCCTTTAGGCCATTGCTGCTTATATTCTAATGAGCATATGTATCACTTCGGGATCTTTTTAAAATGCAGATGCTGATTTAGTAGGTCTGGGGTTGGGCCCAAGAATCTGCATTCTTAAAAAGCCGACACCTAGGCTCCTTGTCTGGAACCACAACTTGAGGAACAAGGCTTTAGACTCTAAAATGTAGAGAGATGAAGCCACACCAAGCTATTGGCAGAGTTGGTGTACCTAAAGTGGGTTTGTTCCTGATTTCAAGGTGCCAGAGAGGGTTTGGGGACACAGAGCCCTAAAGGGAAGTAGCCCCCAGACTCACAAATTCACCACCATTTTCTCTGTGGTAGAAGTTTCCATAAACCCCGCTTGAATGTCATTTTCCAGGGAAGTCAACTGCCTTTTGAAGTATCCAGCTTACCCCGCAAACAGGGCTGAACCACTCTCCTGCAGGGTACTCTGAACTCTGCCATGTGTGGAAAAGACAAAGAAGCAGAGGGGACTCTGCCCTGGGGCCTAAAAGCGATAGGGAATTCCCCCATGTGCTTTGTAGTCTATCCCATCCCAAAGCCTAAAACTGTCTTTTTTTCTTTCTTTCCCCAAAGCACCAGAATAGGAGTTTTCCTCTGTGGACCTGAAGCCCTGGCTGAAACCCTCAGTAAACAGAGCATCTCCCACTCCGAGGCTGGCCCTCGGGGAGTGCATTTCATTTTCAATAAGGAAAACTTCTAATTGGTCTCTTCCGTGAGAAAATAAATGTGGGCTATGCTGCCAAATGCCCAAATAATGCTAGTTGATAATATAAGTTCCCTCCCTTTAAAAAAAAAAAAAGGAGGAAAAGAAACTATAATATGATGGTTTTCCCTGAAAGAAATGTCAAAGATTGTTTGATAGTGATAATTTGCATTTGTATGGGGCTTTATGGTTTTCAGAGCACTTTTACAAACATTATTTCATTTTTTCCTTATGCCAGAGACGCCAAAGAAAGATAGGGCAAGGATCCTTGGATCCAGTTCTTAGGATAAAATGAATGGGGGCTCAAAATGGTGAAGTAACTTACCTAAGATTATGAAGCTGAGACAGGATCTAGGCCATCTGACTCCAGGTTTGGTACTCTTTCCACGATACCAGGCTGCCTGGAAATAGGTTTGTATACTCCCCCAAAGAAGAAGCAAACCAGGGAGTAGCTATTCATTTTCCATTTTGTGTCATCTTTGTTATCATTGTCAGGTCGGAGGAAATTCTCCAAATAGGAGACAATGTATTCTGAGAGTGATTCAACATTTAATCATGACAGGATTGACTTCTGAGCATATTCTAGTTTACCAATGCAGCAGCCTAACTGGGTCAGGAATTCTTCTTACAAAAGAATATTAGGCTGACTAAAGTTAATGTGTTACCCAGCATTTACAATCGTGGTTGGCAGAGAGTGGCTACCCAATGAAAGTTTGTTGAATGAATGAATGAAGAGACATTTAGAACCAGACAGTGCCAGGGTAGAATTAATTTAAGGCCTTAAACAGAATTATCTAAGGAAAAACTTGTTTTACTCTTATAGACCAAAGGAAGCTGATTCTTCCGAGGGTAGAGAACAGGCTACAGATAGTAACCAATAGGATGTCCCGGAGGTTCCCTCACATTCTTATTTGAAGCATGGAGGAAAGGGAGATGGAGGCAGAGAACTGACCTCCTACCATAACTCTGGCTGGCTTCTCTAGTCCTGCTCCCTGTGCTATGATAGAAATGCAAACTGATTTGCTGCCTGAAAGGCTCTCCTCCGGCCAGCACTTGTGAATTTGAAATTAAGAATTGTGACAAATATGTATCTGATTTGACTATCTGCTTTAATTGGCATCCGCCCCTTGTTTTACTTAAATACACACAAAATGGATCTTATTTGTGTGACTAACAGTTTATTTTTTATATCATTATCATTAACATCATGAAATCTACATCCTAGAAACAAAAATCCCCAGCTTACTGTGTAGGCATTGAATTCACACCCAATAGAATATTCTGGATATCTGTGAGTTTAAGAGAGGGTCTCTAAATCACTGTTAGTGTGACCAGAAACAGTTTTTTTTTTTTTTTCTTAGAACTGCTCTTATTTCCGGGAACTGAAAACAGCTTTGTTGTGGCCACCCTCTGGAACCACAGATATTTAGAACTATTTAAATTTGGTAATGAGGAAGAAAGAGAAGAAAGCAGGGGGAAGGGCAGAAGACTGGGTTAGGATGAAACTGAAGGGAAGGGGGAAAGAGAAAAGAAGAAGAGTGAGAGAAAGCAAAATGGCAAAAGGGAAGGGTAGAGGAAGGGAGTGTCACATTGGTCAATTTCTACCCTAGATTTCTTAAAGTTTTGTATGTATTGAATATAATTGAAGGAGGCATACACATATTCATTTTATTTTGATTATATGTGGTATTGAACCTGAAATTCTGATCACAAATTTTGATGCCGAGTAGGCATATTCAGGGGACTGAACTAGTACGAACTAGTAAGAGCCCTTGTTGCTTTGGGCTCCCAGGATGCCCATGACATTGACAAGTCAGGGTTGCTGCAGGAATGTCACCCACCCAACATGTCCCAGGAAGGTTTCCACTTAGAGAAACTTAGGTACAGCCTGTTCACACTACACCTTGTGTCAGTTCATTCATTCAACAAATTTTTATTGTGCTAATACCATGACTCACACTCTGTGTTCATAGTATCAATTCTCAATGGCAAGGTGTGAGCAAGAGGGGGAACCTCAGTTGTAAGGAGTCTGAGAATCTTGGCCCTCTCTAACCTATGTGGCCTAAGTAAAACCAACTCCATTTGTTGCTCTGAAAATGTTTGTCTGGGGTTTTCTACGTTTGACACCAACATAGTCACCAAAATAGAGAGATCTGTCCTGTATTATCCTGGTTATGCGATGAAAAATGAGTGTAAAAGGGCTTGTCATTATGAGAGCTTCCTGCTTCATCCTTCTCCCAAGCCGCCAGCCGCCAGCCGCCAGCGCAGCTGCTTTAGCATTTAGCATTTAGCGTTTAGTAACAGGTACTGAGAGAACGATTAAGCATTGTTTTTAATCTCAAGGCTATGAAAGTTTTTTTTAGTTCTCCGGCTTTTGCAATATTGCATTAATGAAATCTGAATACTTGTAGGTGTTGTATGTGAATAGTTTTGGGGGGCCCTGGGAGATAATTCCTGGGAAGAACTATTAAAATTGTGCTCAACTATTAAAATTAATGAGCTCTCTCGGTGTCTGTGTTATTGATCTCTGTATTAAAGAGTGAATTAAAATAAATAAATAAAGCGTGGATTCAGATAGTGAAGATTTTCTCTGCCCTAGTGGAGTTGAGTTTCTCTGTTTTTGCATAATACATGCCAAACACTGCACAATTGATGGATTGGGAAGGGAAAACTGAGTACTGAGTTGTGTGCTAATGTCCTGGTGATCCTCACAGCACTGGTATAAGGGACAATGGAGTATCACCTCACATCATTGACAGAATTTCAAAGGCAAAGAAGTCCCAGTATAAGACTTCTTTTTTTCATTTCCGCTCATGTTTTAGGCTCTAACTTTGCAATTAGATGTCATCAAATCAGATTGTGACTGTATATATATGCTCATGGTTCTGTGTTGGCCGTTGTCCTAAATGAGTCAACCAATTACGATCCCCACTGTCTAGAAAATGGATAAGAGGTATGGTCATATATTCCTGTGGGAGTCAACAAGTGCTGCCAAGGGGGCAAAGGACATTACCTGAAACAGATGTCAACAATAGAAATAGCTAACATTTAGTAAATACCTTCTACTATGCCAAACATCTTCCGTACACTTCAGCTAATCCCTCAGAACACTGCAAGGTAGCCATTTTATCCCAATTTTGATGATTAAAAAACTGAAGCTAAGAAAGGACAAATGATAGGCGCAAACTCTCTCTCAATACTGGGTGACTGTATCAACATTAAGTCCACATCTTTCTGACAAAAAAAGTCCATGTTCTTTATACTACACTAGCAGATTAGACAAAGTATAAGTAACCAAAGATATTTTCAAATCTCTTGTGCTAGGTGCAGATTAGGCACTAAGAATAGCTGGCTAACAGTGTTGGTATAAACCTCTGGTTTATGCCACCTAAGTATCTTAGTATCTTAGTTTAGAAACACTGGTTAACTCGATTCATGCTAATTTTTATGTTTATTTATTTTTAATGTTTTTTTATTGAGCTATAATTGACAAATAAAATTGTAAGATATTTAAAGCATACAACATGATGATTCACCAAATAATGTTTTTCCATAGAACAACAGCTTTCACCTATATAGCTACAATGCAATGAACCAATCCAAGAAATTTAACACTGATACAAAACTATCATTTACTATATAGTCTGTGTATAGGTGACATTGTATCCTCAGTGTGTTGCATTAGGAATTAGGTATTGTCAGTTTGTCCTGTTATTGGTAGTATTAAGTTCGATCACCAGATTTCTCTGTTATAAATATAAGGGTAACATTTTACTTTTGTAACTAGTAACCAATATTTGGGGACTACTTTGTGACTATATAAATATCATTTTCTCTGATAGCATTTCACCTAGTTGTTTTAGCATGCATTGCTGAAATTTCACTGAATTGATTTCTATAATGATGGTTATAAAATATCTGGATTCTTAAACCTCAATAATCTGCCAATTTCTCTTCTTTTTTCCCCAGATTTATTGAGATATAATTGACATATAACACTGTGTACATTTAAGAGGTACAATGTGTTGATTCGATACATTTATATATCGCAAAATAATTACCACCATAGCATTAGCTAACACCTCTATCCCATCCGTAATTACCATTGCTTTTTTGTGGTGAGAACATTTAAGATTTACTTTCTTAGCAACATTTAAGTATATAATACAGTATTATTAGCTATAATCACCATGCTGTACATTAGATTCCCAAAATGTGTTCACTTTATAACTGCAAGTTTATACCCTTTGACCAATATCTCATTTCCCCCACCTCCCAGCCCCTGGTAACCACTACTCTCCTCTCTGTTTCTCTGAGTTTTTATATTCCACATGTAAGTGAGATCACATGGTATTTGTCTCTCTCTGTCTGACTTATTTCACTTAGCATAATGCCCTCAGGTTCCTCCAAGTTGTCACAAACAGCAGAATTTCCTTCTTTCTCATGGCTGAACAATACCACATCTTCATTATCAGTTCATCCATTGATGGACACCTAGGTTGTTTCCACATCTAGGCTATTGTGGATAATGCTGAAATGAACATGAAGTGCAGATATCTCTACAAGATTCTAATTTCAATTCCTTTGGATATATACCCAGAAGTGGGATTGCTGGATCACATGGCAGTTCTATTTTTAATTTCTTGAGGAACCTCCATACTGTTTTCCATAATGGCTGCACCAACTTACATTCCCACCAACAGTGCATAAGAGTTCCCTTTTCTCCATAACCTCACCAACACTTGTTATCTCTTGTCTTTTTGATGACAGTGTTGGAGAGGAAGAAATTTTTCTCTACCCTTCTAGGTTCTTCTGGCTAGTCTAAGAATTAAATTGACATGAGATGGAATAACAAGAGAAAATCAAACAAGTTTAATAACATGTATACATGGGAGAAACCCGGGAAAACTGAGTAACTTGCCAAAATGGCTGAAGCCACCACCTTAAATATCATCTGCAGCTAAAGACAAAAGAGGATGTGGGGGTAGTGGTTTGGGACTTCAAAGGGGAGAAAGCAATTCACATGGATATAGAAAAGCAAATGTTTGGTAAACAAATGTTTGCCATGCCTTGCAGAGACAATGGGACATGGAGAGAGCTTTGATCGAATGGGCCTTGCTGGGTTGCTCCCTGTCTATCACACCTAGTTCATATTATACTATAGTTCTCTGTGGTGATAGCTCCTTCCTGGAACAGGCCTTCTATCTTAAATGCTTTTAGGCAGTTAGGAGGAAGGCCAAAGTTTCTTCCTCAGTCTTTTCTTCTTAAAATAATCAAGCCAGGGCCGGCCCGGTGGAGTAGTGGTTAAGTTTGTGCACTCTGTTTTGGCACCCCGGGGTTCACGGGTTTGGATCCCAGGTGCAGACCTACGCACTGCTCATCAGGCCATGCTGTGGTGATGTCCCACATACAAAACATAGAGGAAGATTGGCGCAGATGTTAGCTTGGGGACAGTCTTCCTCAAGCAAGGAGAGGAGGATTGGTGGCAGATGTTGGCTCAGGGCCAATCTTTCTCACCCCCCCCCGCCCAAAAAAAAAGAAGAAAAAAAAGTAATCAAGCCAAAGAGACACATTTTAGGGTGGCAAATTCTGCTCCCCTAAGATTGCCGTTCTAACAGCTATGAGGTGGTATCTCATTGTGGTTTTGGTTTGCATTTCCCTAATGATGAGTGATGTTGAGTATCTTTTCAGGTAGCTGTTGGCCACTTGTATGTCTTCTTTCTAAAACTGTCTGTTCAGTTCTTCTGCCCATTTTTTAATTGGATTGTTTGTTTTTTTGCTATTGTGTTGTATGAGTTCTTTATATATTTTGGATATTAACCCCTTATCCAATGTATGATTTGCAAATATTCTCTCCTATTCAGTAGGCTGCCTTTTCATTTTATTAATTGTTTCTTTTGCTGTGCAGAAGCTTGTAGTTTGATGTAGTCGCACTTACTGAGTTTTGCTTTTGTTGCTTGTAGTTTTGGTGTCATATCCAGAAAATCACTGCAAAGACCAATGTCAAGGAGCTTTTTCCCTATGTTTTCTTCTAGGAGTTTTATGGGTTTGGGTCTTATGTTTAAGTCTATAATCCATTCAAGTTCATTTTTCTGAGTGGTGTAAGATAGGAGTCCAATTTCAGTTTTATGCATGT